GGCTCATGAAATCATGTACAACTGTATAACAATTTCTAAATACCACTTGTCGTATTTATGCCAAATATCACTACAATATTGCAGTTATAAATTCAACGAACAAATATGAGTGGTCTTGTTCTACGGCTTTGTGAATGCCGTGTAGGTTTGCTAGTCAAAGCTGCAAATAATATTTTTTCAATCAGCAGGTCATTTGTCAGGCCAGCGACCAGTCCTGACCTGACCAGGAAGCATTCTGGTGGGACAAAAAACAAAACAAAAGAAAAAATGAAGAAAAGAACGAACAAGTTAAAGCAAAAAATTAAGAATTTACTGCTTCAAAATTTGGAGTTATTAATTTTGATTGTCTTGTAGAATTGTGACCACACAGAAACCCGAGTGCCCGAACCACCATAGCCTGCAGAGCAGGCGTTTTTTACGTTTTTTAACGAAAACTCGGAGGTACTTTGATCGTGGCCGCCATCTTGAAAAGCAACCAAAAAGACTAAGGGGAAGGGGCGGTGGAAGGGGGGAGGGGCGGGGAGGAGAGAGGAGAAAACGCCTGCCAGCAAAGCCTATGAAATTAACGAACGCCCCCTAATTAGTCGCGCCTGACCACTTTTCCGGAAATGCAAACACAGCCAATGAAAATCGATTTCACTTCTTTTCCGGTAGCCTCAAATTACTTCCGACAATAACATTGGCACGTGTTTGGAATACGCCTGCTTTGCAGGCTAGGAACGGTACTTTACCGGGCATTGACAACTCTAGGGAAATCTAGCGAGCGATGTACGCCTAAAAGTTATGTCGGAAACGCGTCCTAGCGACAGCTGTAGGATTTGTAAATTCTCTTTTAAAGTGAAGTTTGGGAACGTCAGCGGTAAACAATTTTACTCATCGTCACAAAATCTTTTCAAACCGTCACAGCGCAAAGATTCCTTTGGAATTGTGCTTGCGGACGTTTGCAAACAAGTAGGATTGGTTTTGCTGGAAGATTCACAAGAATATTCTGATCGTGTATGCAACCCCTGTGCGCGAAAAATTCTAACTCTGGGTAATTTGTTTGAGATCGTAAAAACCGCAACGCTTCCAACAGTATCTGGTACTAAACGTTCGCTTGCAACTCCTGAGAAGGCGAGTCCATCATGGAGAAAAGCGAAGCAAGTGCGGGTTAATTCACCTGAAGTCGAAACGTCATCTCGAATGAGACAACCCAAGAAATCGCGCAAGTCGCTGGCATTTACCGGAGAAAGTGGTTCAATGTCCACGCTGCCTGAAAAAGAAGAGGAAATGTTGAGAAGACTTAACGTGGATGACTTGCCGCAGACAGGACTTCAGGTAAAAGTTGTTTACCTAAATCCTTCAGGGAATGTTATTGTAAGAATTCCGCGAGACGATCCAACCAAAACACTGGTGAAAAACGTGGCATGTGAAAACTGGCGTGAAGTGTCCAATGCGATATTACAGCACGCTGAACTTGCTCCTGAATTAAGAAACAGCATCCGCAAAGTTTTATCCAAGGAATTCAGTGAGTATCTGAAGTCTGAAACAATGCTATGCGCAAGAAACCCAGACGAAATAGCCGGTTTTTCGAACAAATTGTTTATGGAAGAGGTGCGAATTTTCTGCCCTCTATGGTATAATTGTGTTATCGGGGCAAGTGGTGTCTCGACCCAGGTAGATGTGAACTCTGTTGCTAAAGATCACAATTCACTTGCCCTTGCCACCGCTATCCTGGCTCGTGTTAGGAATCCTCAAGCGTCGGCCGTCCACTATAGGATCTCCACTATATTATTCCATAGCGGCGTAAAACATGATGACCTCAATCGCCTCAATCGTTTGGGTGTGTGCATGTCTCCAGACTCCATTATTCGTCTTCAAAGCAAGATGAATGAACAGCTGGAAGGCAAAGTGAAGATCTGGAAGGCTACAGTTGAAGAGAATCGCGGCGCTCTCAAGTTAGCCCACGAGGTGGTCCAGAAACAAGTTTCCTTGCCACTGAATGTCAGTCAACAGTGCCTGGAGACGTACGACTTTTTTTCGTCAAAAGGTTACGAGTATTTGATAAAGCTATTGGATGAGGAGAAAGCAAAAAAGAGTGTTGAAACATACACTACAGCTTGTGTTCATTCAGTCATCAGAAGATTGGAGAGTACCAAACTTCCCTTGTACAAGTGAGCATATATATTTTTTAAAGTCTGAAATGTTTTATTTTAGTTAGTTTTCAAGATATGTTCTTGAATTAAACAGACCCTGATTGTTGCTTTTCCCTTTTTCAGACGTATAGAATCTCACAGATAATATAACAGTTTTATAAACAAATAAATGGAAGCACTTTAGCTTTGTCAATTAAGCCATACGTCCCCATTGGTTCATTTTATCGTACTAGTTTTCTTTAATGTTTTGAATTTGGAAATTCCTACTGTTTGTTTTTTCTTTGTTCTCCAAATAAAAAAGATTGGTGGGGGACAACATAGATTATGAAATCCATGCCAGAGTTCAGTCCCAAAAGCACCGTAATCGCTCCATCCACTGGACACACCAGTTTGCTGTTCTAGACCGGGTTCAAGATCCTCAACTTGAAAGCCACTGCAGCCAAAAGTCTGTCAATCAGATCCAGTTTGCAGAACTCCTGCCTGATGAAGATGTCATGGAAAACCTTGTCAAGAATTGGGCTGTCATTGTCAGTCGAGTGATAACAAAGTATTTACCACCTCTCCAGTCATTTAGAGATGCTGTAGTGAGACACATACCACATGAATACTCCAAGGAGATGTCTCAGAAATCCAACTCTGTGGGTAGAATTACATGTTATATAGTAATAATAACAACACCTTTCATGCCATTTAAGACTTATATCAGATTATGAATTGTGATTACTTAATAGTTATTATAAATTACAAATTATTTTAAAGAGGAGTGAGAGTGGGGTGTTCCATCCACTGCATATACCAGTCCATCTTATTATTTTCAAAATGTTGGCAATGTTACTCTTTTTTTTTAAGTTTAAGTAGCCCTCCATCCCCAAAACATGTGCAAAATCACATAAATGTTATATTAAAACCGCATCAATGTTCATCAATAGAAAAGAATAACTCTATTTGCTATCATTTTGGATTATAACTGGTTGTAAACATTTCAACTTTTTAGTGCTTCCTTAGTATGCAGTTTCTCAATCCAAATGTTTCTGGGGAGATGGCCCAACTCCTACAGCACAATCAAGAGAAGTATGTGCCTTGCTTGTCTAATGGGAACAACAAGACCATTCTTGAACAGGTTTCTCTCCATGGTGACCAGTTATTTGAAGAACGGGCCAGGAATGTTATCTGGACGTATAGGGATGGCGTAAACGAATATGAGCGGCTTCAAGGCATGGACACAGAGTTTGCAGACTGGCATGCTAAATACACTTTATACAAGGTAACTATAGCATGGTTAGTCTGCAACTGTCTGCAGCAAATCTAAATTTATGAAACTGGTTGTCTATGTCAAAGGCAGTGTAAATTGCCATTCACTGTGTTAATTACAATGCATTTTGGCCAAGACATTGCCAGAAAAACTCCTAGTTCAAACAAAACAGATAAGAAGGAGTTTCTCTGTACTCCTCCCCACCCCTAAATATGTATGTCTCTCCCTCTCTCTCTCTCTTTTTTTCCAATTTTGCTCGTAAAACAGACAGAATTCAAGATGTTTGTAAATCACTCTTCTGCTGCTGAAATTGGCACTACCAGAGCCAGCATCAACAGGACTGGAAAGACAAACGCAGCAAAGGGGGTCGAGAATCATTACAATGAATATAGTGAATTTCATGCCAGGGAGGTCGAGGCCCATATATGTGCATCATTTATGGAGATGACAGAAATGGAGAAAATCAGTGGTAAGAGCACTTTTAACTGGGTTGTTGTTACTTTTTGACCAAATGGAACCACTTTACTTCCAGCATATGAGGAGTAAGCAAAGGGCAAATGGTTGATCATTATTTTCATGCAATACTTTTATTTATTTTCACCCTTAAGTATTAATGTGCTCACAATACCATGGGTAGACAATAATGTATAATGATGTAAGTCCAAATATTAAATTAATAATAATAATAATATTATTATGGTGATGATGATAACAGTAATATACAACATGCACAATTTCTAATTGACTTTACAGTAAAGTTCAGGAAGCACTCTCCAAATTCTAAGACAATAGTAAGGTTACTATAAAAGATTTTTTTCTGCGCATAGATAAGCCAAGGATACCAATGCCAGATAAATCTCTGTCCAAGCAAACTAGAGCCAAGTGGTTATTGGAAGTTTGTGAAGAATATGTTCAGAAATTTGTCCTCAACAAAGACGAGTTGATATCACTGGTTGGTCAAACCACAGAGCTAGAGTCAGTTAACCTACAGTCTAGGTGGACATGCCGTGTAGATGATTGCAATGCGAGTTATGCTTATCACTCTGGGCGTGTAAGGTACATACAGTTCAGCAATTGCTTGAGAATTCAGTCATTGTGAGTCTTCTGCTAAACAAATGTGTTATCTGAGTGTATATCAAAACTACCAATAATAATCATCAATAACATAATTATGTGAACTATGAATTTGAACTCCACAGGCATGAAGTTGAGGTACACAATTTATCTTTTGATGATGGCCATGATGACAGAGATCATTATGGATACTACTATTGTAGGATGCGTTGTGGGCTGGTGTTCAAGACCAAGGCTACAAGAAAAAGGTGCGATTCATTTGATTTTTGACATCATGACTACCACAACTACCAAGGGTCGCTTTTAATATGTACAAAAAAGAAGCGTGAAAGTATTAGTTCCTATAAAAGAATGAGAAATTCACTGACCACCCCCTTCCCCCAATACTTCTAAAAACCCAAAAGGGAGACAAGGAGTAATGTTAGTGACAAGATCATTATTATTGCTTGTTGTGATGAAGGTCTTCAAAGAAAAATATGACATAATGAAGACAAGAAGTCTTCCACATACTTGAGTCCTGTTGGCCATTTTAAGTTTAGGATGATACTTTTTTGGCAGTGGATAATAGCAACATGTCTATGACATCCCTACACCCTATCCAAGGGTTTTTTCAAAGCCAATCCTATAAATTGAAGGATGCTAAATTATGTGAATAAAGAAACTAATACCATGAATGACTTGTTTGCACCAACAGACATGAAGAACAAAAACATGGAGAAACCCTCCCAGATGACAGCACCCCACAAGAAGAAAGGAAGGAAGACTACAAGTTTAATTATCATAGTGCCAAGCTCACATTTGGATTAGTGTTGCTTGAATTTAATGATGCCGTTAAAGAGGGCGATGGTGCTAGGCTATTTGACTTGTACAAACTAGCTTTGCTTCTCTACAAGACCTATGGTCATTACAAGTATGCATATGCAGTTCTTTTGTATTTGGTCAAGTGCACTGCAATCCTTCCACCATCTCAGGCATTAAGGTTAAAGTGGAACAGGTTTTTTAATGGCAGTGGCCTTCCCGGACGAAATATTCCACTTGACCTGCAGAAAGAACATGACAATAAAGATATCAAGTGTATGTGGCGCAACTTAGGCGCAAACCTTGATGAACATAATGCTGAAAGAACAGCAGGAACTTTGGAATCAAGGCAACTTGTTTACAAGTCGGTTGACCGAGACTGCGATCTGAAGGAACAACATTTCTCGAGGGTAAACCCAAAAGAGGAGGATGCTGTCAACCAAATAATCAATGACCTACTGAGCAACAAGGTGTTTACCAAGACTCCAGGCCGTGAAGGGTACGAAACATTCCCTGAATTTAAAAGAGACCTTCTTCACGACCTTGACTACAGGGATCTTCACAGATGGTTAAGAGAGCATATTGATTTGTGGGCATCAGTATACCAACAAGAACGTTAGTCTACATCTAATGACCACTATTACTGAGTTGTAGATTTTGTAAGCCATTTTCAAATTTGTTAAGTTTACAGGAGGCGAAAACATCATTTCAATTGCTCCCTAGTCCCTTTTCAGTGGTGGCCATGTTAAGTCCCTGAAGAATGAATTAAATAATATTGCTCGGGGTGCAAAATAAGTGTTTTCAAGTTTTTATGCAGAAAGATAGCTGCCTGATAAGCATTCACTCTTTCTTTTTCATTGTGAACATTGATCTTACTTGGAAAAGAAAAAGGAAACTAATACATGGATAGAGATAGAGATAGAGATGTATAGAGATATTTCTTACCAGTGGAACGTGCTTGGTTACAGTGGGAGATAATACATTAGTGAACTTAAGCACCAGACATTCTTGATTCACGAATGGCATGGCTGGCCGTGCAGAACTAGACCGCGGTTTATGCGCCAGATGCAAATCATTGGTGTAAGCAAACCAGCGTGAAACCATCACGAATGCGGACATAATAATTCATTTGAAAATGTCTTTCAAAGATTTGCGTGGAGTTTTGTTTGTTTCTTATGAAGAAAACATGATTTCGGGGGAAGAATTTTTTTGTATGACAAATTGTCTTCGAAGAACCAAGAATTTGAACCTCTGGTTTTAACCTGAGAACTCATGTTTTGAAGTCTGTAACAGCAGCCCAAGAATGTCTTGACATGCACAGTGACTGTCATGCTGCAAAATTACTTCTGGGTGGCGTCCGTGGTACCAAAAAAGTCTGGTGCTTAAGTTCCCTATTATTAGGTTGTTTTATGTTTGTTGATGTTCATACAAGTAAGCATTTTTCAATAGCACAGATATGGGATAGACCATTAAAAGTTATACAGTGATAAATCTGTTTAATATGTGGCCCTTCGCAATAAAACCAGTGTCACAAATTCTCATGGTGGGACCCAAGTTTTTTGAACACATCATGAAAATACATTAGTCAACTATGAAACAAACCATACACCTGTATCTTGAAAATGAATTTTCTTCCTGTGGAAAGCTCCTACACAGTAAATTATCACTTGACGAAAAAAGAAACATAAAATCACATCATATGAAAACCTGCCATAAGGAATAAAATGATTTTTGAACCAGATTGAGCTCAAGAAATTTCTATTTCACACCCCATTACCATGATTATTTTACACTAATGGAAAAAATATATAAGCCTGATTTTGCTGTGAATACTATAGAATGATAATAATATTAAGTGACACTTACAGAGTATCAGGAGAGCCTCAAATAGAAAATGCAAAATATTAACAGTAAACTTAACAGCCTGAGATGTTTAGATCTTTTGCTTTTGGTGAATATCATATCAGCTTGTTTTGATCTGGAATGAGGTGAGATAAAGCTATTGTACAACGCAAGGCATTATTTTGAACTTATATTTACTGGCCCTACCATAATAATTACATAAACAATTATTGTTTATGTCAAAGCAAAGATTCTCATCCATAAAAACTGACACTGTAATCAAAGTTCTACCATTTCATCACTGTCACTATCAAAACCCAAATCAATATTATTGAAATCAAACCACTCACTGACTCTTGAGTTGTTCTGTACATGTAGATTAGAATTCAAGTTGTACAAAGCAGAAGTTTCCTCAAACTTCGGAATATCCATGAACACTTCCTGCACAACTTCCAACACCCTCAAAGAATTTAACAATGAAAAGACAGGAAAATTGCTCATCAAGTCTTGAACAGTAAAGATGTGTTGACAGTTATTAACAATATCCTCTATGAGCTCTTTCGAAAACCCATGGCTCGAACTTTCATCTAATGATAGCCCTTTGTGCCTCATGTCAGCAAGAACCTCATACAGTGCTTCCTCCAGTGTTTTGCGGTCACCTTCTGTTACTTCCCTCTCTCTGACATCAGTAACTGCAGCATTGTTGTCATTGCTTTGTATGACGTGCTCAAAAGGCAAAACCTCAGCAGTACAAGTTGTACCAGCACACATGCAAATTGTAGTGCAAAAAGAACAACAGTCATGCAAAGGTTCAAGTGGTTTAATTGTTGCATCCAATGAAAGGTATGCTGCAACCCGAAGACAGCCTTTAGCCCTGATAAAGTCCTTGACCTCTTGCTCACAATGTGCGGCTTGCTGGCCATGGTATAAAACAAAAATATGAGATTTCTCTCCATCCCTTCCAGCCCTTCCTGCTTCTTGGTGTTGATCAAGAATAGATCTTGCTGGTCCCCAGTTAATGATGTATCTCACATCAGGGAAGTTCACACCCATACAAAGAGCAGTTGTAGCTATAAGGATGCGTTTCGCTCCATTGGTTGCTTTAAATTCCTTTAATACTCTATCCTTACTGCTCTGCCAGGAATTTGAATGATATATTCCAATTAAGCAATTATCTTGCTTTGCTGAACAGTCAGGCAAGAAAACATCTTTTCCAAGCTCACAAATTAAATGGTTAACAACTAGGGCAATCTCATTCATAGTGTTGCAGAACACTATTGTCTTTGGACATTTGTTTTTGAGTTCTCTGATTAAATCCACCAGCCACTTCAGTTCCTTCAGCTGCTCATCTTTCTTTACTTTCTTCACACTAAATCTCAAGTTCACTCTGTTTGGACTTACATATATTTTGGTGGCATCTGACCTCAAGCAAAGCACATTCATGATGGTTTTTTGTGTTACTGTATCTGCTGTGCCTGTTAGAGCTCCAACAGGTGTGCCTTTGGGAGAAAGGAAACATGATCAACTCAATATAGTTGTTGTACCCAGCTCGTTTTAAAAACAAGGTAAACACACATACACACATGCAATGAAAGCAAGTGTTGCAAATACTTCGAGCATTTTAAATATATTGGTATGAGCTGGTGATCTTTGGTCACCTACATATAGTTAATTTTGGTTTACAAATTCTTTGTTTTGTTCCTGAAAATCGTCAAAGAAAAAAAATCAAAGATCTCATTTTGGTAAGCTCTTACATCATACCTTAGCATCGTATTATTTTCAGTAACTTTGAGGGATTTAAAGAAATTTAGAATATGCAAAAAACTTTTAGCTTAAAATAATCCAGGATTTGTAACTATAACATATTGGGAGCTGTCGTAGTAACTAAGAAAAGAATGGTCTTATTAAAAGCATGTTCTATTCCTGTATGTATTATTATTAATTTGAAGGAAAAGGTAAATGAATTCTTTCTAAATGCGATAAAATAAACACTGATCTTTACCTTGATTGAAAAAAGATCGCAGTTCCCCAAGCTTTCCGAACGACTCACGGAAAGCAACAGTGGCCTTTTGTCTGGGTTTCTTAGTTGTTGCCCTGTAATTTAAGAGAACATTGAATTTATCTTCATGTTTACAGCACAAGTTTATCGAACACATCCTAGGAGAACAACAAGGGAGAAAAACAAACCTTTGACCCGTCCATGTTTCTACAGTGTGCGACTCATCGACTATCAGTGCAGCAAGATTCTGGTGTAGAGGCGTGTTGGTCTTTTTGAGCCGACCGAGGAAAGGCTTCTCCAAAATTTCTTCTGCAGATGCAAAGATCAGCTGGTATTTGCCGTTCTCTACATCGTCTAAACTGGCGTCCGAAAGTGATGTGGCCGTTAAACCCATTGCAGTTGCTTCGGACAATTGATCGTGTACAATACTTTTTAGAGGGCAAACAACGATCACACATGCAGGTTTGCCTGTCAATATTTCTTTCACCCGCACCAACAACTGAAAGATAAGGCTTTTTCCAAAGCCTGTTGGAAGAACTGCTAATAAATCTTGCCTCGACAACAAGGTCGTGACCGCTTGCTTTTGTTCCGATCGCAATTTAAGCGATATTCCCAGTCCAGCGAGCGCCGAAAGAGCTTTCTCCAGGGCAGAATCGAAGTCTTCCAAATCCGCCATGTTTTAAAATTTCAGATGAATCCGACTAAAATACTCCTCTCGTAGGGCACCGTGCGTGTTTTGTTTATCGCGATGGCCTCTGCTAAAAAATATGTCCCCTTGATTGGCAGCTAGCAATCAAGCCCCCGAAACCGCACCAATCAAAGTCCCCGTCGATCTGGTGTACGGGTTCGCCAAACGAACAATGGCTGCGGGCAGGCGTATTTTTTCCTCCCCTCCCCTCCCCCTCCCCTATTTTTAACCCATCTACCTCTCCCTTAAAAACACTTTTTGACTCGTCCCAACTCTCTGGTAGTATTAACGTCCAAGATGGCGGGACAACGTTATCCTGAAAAC